TCTTATCACAATGAATTAAAAAGGAGAAATTGATTTTTCAAAATAAGGTATTTGAAATAATAAATCTCTTAACCAATTCGCTTCTTCACTAGCTGAAGCTAAAGCAATTAGTTCATCCTCCATGGTAGAGTTAACAATTATAGTTTGTATTTTTTAATCTCCAACAAATAGCACTACCACACCAAGTAAAGACATAATCAGTGGTAGAACATGAATCACCTGATAAGGTGTTCCAATCTGCATCAGAAAAGCCTTCAAGTACAACAAGATATTTTTTTATAGAACAAATCATAATTTTTTGTTCCAATTAAATATCTCATAACTCTTGTTATAGCATGTCAATGTTGATTACCTAGCTTGCTTGTAAATCTGCTAAGTACTCCTACTGCATAAGCAATATCAGGCCTAGTACAATCAGTCACATATCTCAAACTTCCAATTATGCTAACATATTCCTTTTGATTTATTACATCATTTTCACTTTCAATAGAAAATAAGTGAACACTTGAATCAAAAGGAGTTACTACATGCTTGCAATCAAGAAAGTTATATTTTTTCAAAATTTTCTCAACATAGTGTGAGTGGTCAACAAAAATTCTATCACATGTTCTTGTTATTTTTATTCCAAGAATAAAATTTGCCTCACCAAGATCTTTCAAATCAAAATGACTTCAAAGAATATTTTTAGCTTCATCAATAACATTCATGTTAGAGCCAAAGATCAATAAATCATCAACATATAGGCAAATAATAACAATTGAATTATTCCAAGACTTATGATATATGCACTTATCACACTCATTTGTTTCATACTCATTTTCAATGATGCAGGAATCAAACTTTTCATTCCATTGCTTAGGTGTTTGTTTCAAGTCATATAGGAATTTAGCAAGTTTACACACTTTGCTTTTTTGGCATGTTTCAACAAAATATTCTGGTTGTTCCACATAAATTTCCTCATTTAGGTCTCTATTTTAAAAAAAATATTTTTACATCCATTTGATGATTTGTAAATCAAAAATTGCAGCCATAGCAATTAAAAGTCTTATGGATGTAATTCTTGTTACCAGTGAGAAAGTAACAAAAAATTATAGGCCTTCTAGTTGTTTAAAACCTTTTGCAACTAGTCTAACCTTGTATTTATCAATAGATCCATCCGATTTCAAAAAAAATTCGTAAGACCCATTTGTAACCAATAGTTTTACAACCCAGTGATAAATCAACTAACTTCCAAGTTTGCTTAGAAATTAGTGATTCCATTATATCATTTACAACCTCTTTTCAAAAAATAGAATCATGTGAAGATAATGCTTCTTTCAAAGTGAGAGAGTCATCTCCAACATTAAACACATAAAAATCAGGACCAAAATCTTTTTCTACTCTAGCTCTTTTACTTCTTCTTAACTCAAAATCATTTTCTTTATTTTTCAAAGTAGAAGTGGAAGAACTAGGTAATGACAAAATATTTTGTTCAAACCTTTGACCCCACTATTTTTAGAATCAAAAGGGAATTTATTCGCATGAAAAATAGCATCACCCGATTCTATTATAATATTATCTTCAGGATTAACAAATCTATAGGTTCTACTATTTGAAGCATAACCAAGAAAAGCATAAGTAGTAACTTTCTTACTCAACTTTGTAATTTTGGGATCCATTAGCCTCACAAAGGCTAGACAACCCCACTTAGATATCCCAAATTTGACTTGTGACCTTTCCACAATTCAAAATGTATCAATTTAGACTTTTTTTATGAGGCACGCGATTCAATACATAACAAGCAGTTAAGATAGCTTCACCCCATAAATTTAAAGGTGCATGTGACTCAATAAGCATGTCATTAATCAATTCAACCAATGTTCTATTTTTCCTTTCCGCTACACCATTAGATGAAGGAGAATAGGGAGATTAGTTTCATGAATTATTCCTAATGATCTAACAAAAGAATTCAACTCATTTGACTCATATTCACAACCTCTTATCACTTCTAATTCTTTTTATTTTTCTTCCAAACTGATTTTCAACCTCATGGAGATAAGTTTTAAAATTTTCAAAAGCATCATTTTTATTTTTCATCAAGCAAACATATGTAAACTTAGAAAAATCATCAATCAAAGTGATAAAATACCTATTACCTCCGCGAGTTAAAATTTCACCAAGTTCACAAATATCAGTATGAACTAATTCTAACAAATCAGTTTTTCTTTCAACTTGGAAATGAGGCATTTTAGTGATTTGGGCTTTACTACAAGCCTCACGCTTTTTAAAATTAATTTTAGCCATTGGAATTAATCCCAAAATACTCATAATTCAAACATAACGATCATTAATATGACACAACCGAGCATGCCAAAAATTGGTAGAAGAAAGCATATAAACAGAAGTAGAAACTTTATTCATTTCAACATTCAGTTTAAACATCGCATCACAAGCATACCCCTTCCCCACAAAAATACTGTTCTTCACAATTACATATTGATCAGATTCAATACTTTGTTTAGAGCCTACTTTATTAAGGAGAAAACTAGACATCAATTTTTTTCTCATGGAAGGAGTATAAAGTACATCTTTCAAAGTTAATACTCTTCCAGAAGTAAAACACAATTCGACATCTCTCGTTCCAAGCACTTAAGTTGTGTGAGAATCACCAAGCATGATGATTTTGGGCTCCTCAAAATGAGTATATTTTTTAAACCAGTCTTTGTCATAACAGACACGACAGTTTGCACCAGAATTAGCCCACCATCCATCAACACTCTCAACCATGTTTATTTCGGTAATCACCGCCACAAAAGGTTCTTCGGTAACGTTTGCCTAAGGGTTAGGGCCGCGTTTCTGGAATTTGTAAAATCGAGCAATATGTCCACTCTTGCCACAAATAAAGCACGGTCCCTTATCTTGAACTTGTTGATTTTTATGTTTGGTTATTTTCACCATTATTTTTCTTGGGAAGTCTACCATTATTTTTCTTGAATTTTCTTTTCTTAGGCTTCAAAGAAGTATTTTTGTGAGATTCAGGAGTAGCATTATTTGAAGTAATTAAATTTACCTTTGTTGTGATGTTGCTCTCTTCTGATTGTAAAAGTGCATCTTGGCCCCTTGCATCTTCTTCCATCTGAATTTTCATTATCAAGGTTTCAAGAAAGGTTTTCTTTTGTTTGTGGCGCATAGTTTATTGAAATTCCTTTTAAGAAGGTGGAAGTTTATCTGTTATGCCACAAACAATAAGGTTATCTCCAATTTTAACCTCCTCGGACCTGAGCTCTCCAAGTCTTGAGTTTGGTCTACCACTGATTTATTGTCAACCATTTGGAAACAAAAAAATCTACAAACCACATATTTTTTCGCTCCAGCCTCTTCGGTATCATACTTACTCTGCAATGCTTTACAATTATTTTTTTTGCACTAGAGTATGTTCTATTATAATAATCATAAAAATTATCAGATAGACAATTAAGAATATAATATCGACACTTAAAGGAATCACCATCGTACTTTCCACTTTCTCTAGATGAGAAATAGTTTCATCATCATTCATAGAGGTGATGTCGACTTTATTAGGATTCTTCTCAGTTAACACATAAGAAACATTGAGAAGACTTAAGTAGAAAAACACTTTACCCTTCCATCTGTTGAAATGGTTACCATTAAATCGAAATGGCTTGTTAAGGTCTCCCATCTTGACATCCGCGGTTTTTTCAATTGTAGCCATTGTGAATCTTCTTAAAATTGTTAGTGAAAATTTACAAGATAACAAAATTACAAGATTACAATTGGAAATAAAATGAAGAAATAAAAATCTCTTCAGGCTGAGGCGCGGATATCTTGCTCTCTTTAAAGAGATTCAAGCCCACTGCAGCAAATGTTTTTCACCGGTCCAGCAGTAGTCCTTCTTGACTTGTTCCCTCTAGGATACAACAACCTAATCACAAAAGCGTAACTCAACAAATTCTGGACAGGAGTTGAGTCCAAAGCTCCACAAAAAGAGCACGTGCATTCAACTAATAAAAACTCTCTTTTTTTGACAAATTTTATGCACTCTATATTTTTTTTTTGTGCATGTTAAACAAATGAAGACCACCATTATTTATAATAGAAGAAGTCTTCCTAACAATGAATAGGAAGATAATGGGGTAGTAAATAGTGATGATAAATGGTCTATGAGTTACATAGGTTACAAAGTATAATGGAGGATTAAAGAGTGAGAATAAAGGAGAAATGATTTAGAGAAGTAATGGCCATGGTTGACCAACTTCTGCCTCAAACAGTAACCTCCAACGGAACCAACAAATAAAGGGCAATAATACATATAGACATTGATTAACAGGTGAGTAATTAGGCACAAATGCCTAACCCTGCAACAATGATTTAGAGGCAGGCTGCTCCAATATTGTTAATGTGGCAATTCAATGGTACAAATTAATATAATATTAAAATGCCTACACTAACATAGGGTAGATCAAAATCTTAGCAGGGTGAAGGCTCATCCTTGTCATGCCTGCCGCAATTGCCATCTCTACAAAGTTTCCAACTAAGGAATTTGGTTTTCCCACCTGCTAATCAAATTTTGAAGTTGTCAATTAGTAAATCAAAGTTCGTCCGATGGTGTTGTTTCTTTGGTAGTGAGTAGGAAGCCTAGATATTTGCCAAATGAGGATCCTTCTTGCTTACTAAATGATTCTTTTATACGACATTTTACCCTTGTTGGAGAAGAAGACTTTAGATTATTCAAGGTGTTTTTTTTTTTTGTCTACAACTTAAGCAAAAGAGTCTAGTACATCAATTATGGCATGTAAACTATCTTAAGACATTTATCCTTACAGCAAGAAATTTAGTAGCAGCTCTAGAAAAACAATTCAAATTTCTTGAAGCAAAGAATTTTGTGCACATAATTGTATGTCATAGTTCCCAAATTCTCTCCATTACTTACAATCTGATGTAATAGAGATAATTTAATCAAGTAATAAAAGTTGAATGTGGGTGGGTGATGACTGACAATATAAAGAAAAAAAATCAATATTTTTAAGATAAAGAATTATCTCTGTATCTAAGTAGGAGAGCTTTACAACATGGCCTGCAATCCTGGCTTTTCTTCTCAATAAACAGCTCCTATCACCAATGGCAAATGATAAGTCTTTTCTCCCATGCACCAATATTGCCCCCTAAACAATACCGACATCTAAGAGGCGCAAAAGAATGTCCTTTTCCTCCCAACCAATATTATTATTATTTTTTTAAAAAAAAGATGAACCTCTTACAGACGGAAAGAAATGAATCTCATACCTATGCTAGTAATGCAGGTTCTCTTCATAGAATTGAGCCAAAAGCAGCAAATCCGAAAACTTGAATATACCTGATCAAATTCAGCCAATCTGAGAATTTCCTCTTCTATTCGATTGTGAAGATACATAGAATGAAAAAGTCTGCAACTTCTGGATTCCTACTTTGTGTTTTGTAGTTGGAGTGCAACCTATCGATTACTCCAATATGTGGCAATTCTTTATAAAATCATTGGAGTAGTCTACATACTTGGTCCAATAAGGACGGAGATGCTCGAAGCCCAACTCCAACCAAGGTTTGGACTGGCCATTGTAATGAATTACAGCAGCCTTCTTCACTTTATCAATGTTGGACTTATTTTGATAGCCCAAGCCGAGCATGTGCCATGAGGGATCAATTGGGTGAACATGACCCTTGAATGCAATCAAAGCAGGAGGTAGTGTTCCAAGCTTCCACATCGTCAGTTTGGACTTCAGATTCTACAAAAGATCACAAAGGTCAAGAGTGTTCATTTATAACACATGGCTTTCTTTTCTAGAAAGAAAAAGAGATATTTGTCAAAGAATAGTTATGACATCTTTTCAACTTGAATCAGCACTATATCAGCCATCCGAAGTATTGAACTCTTTATGGATCTACAATAATTGATCACTGTGCTGCTTGCTTAAAAGGATGGGATGGTGCATAATACAAGAGAATCCAATCACCTCAACTCTAAATGTACACCAACCCCATTTAGGGGGTGATATGTATATTGAAGATTACATGTCCTGCTTTCGTGGAGTTTGTACTTTCAATAGTGAAGACAGCAAAAAAACAACAGAATGAAACAGAAAAATTACAGTTTTAAACTTCTTAATCAACACACTTCTGATGTCAAACAGAAAAGTACAATAGTAAATTTAATGGCATCCAAACCAACAAGAAAAGGCTGAACAAGGACATGCTTGTGTAATCTAGAAGAACATTGCAGAAGAAAAAGCTTAATAAGTCACACATTAGACAAAATACAGACATAAGCAAGAAGCATAGAAGAATCTCAGAAATCTTGCATGATCGAAAAATAATCCCATATATGTAGGAACATATAAAACTTAAAGATAAGACAAAAATCATGAACCATGTGAAATCCGACTACCTCTTTAAGCCATGAATGGTAAGTATCTCTTATATTTGTCTTTCTCCATGTATGCAAGTCAAAGATATTCATCCCATAAGCCCATGCACACTCGTCAGGGTTCAAATTTTTTGCTATGAGAGGATGAGAAAAATTAAAGTAGTTTCTGAATCGCTTTGACATCACCCACTCATCTTCTCCTTTACAGGTCTCAACAGCTCCATTCACCTTTCCCTTAAGGTCAATGTCCCACAATGGAGACAAGTCACGCTGAATCACAACATCGTCATCCAAGAAAACCACTTTATGAAGGTTTGGGAAGAGCTGCATACAACACCATAGAATCTCAGATTAGTATAGAAAGAGTATATCAAGACAGACAAGAGGTGAGTAAAGGTCTCATAAAAGAACTAAGGATTAAACCTGCTAATAGCAGGGAGAAAAAGGAAAGATGGTAGTGTCAAGACACGGTCTGGAGATGCTGCTTTTGGAGGGATCTTTAGAGATGATCACAGAAAATGGGTGTTGGGATAGTTAGGTAAGATGAAATCTTTGACAAGCCTCACATCAGAATTATGACTCATAAAAAAAGGGCAAACTGTATCTAAGCTAATGGGATACTTGAAGTCTAGCTGATTAAGGATGAGGAAATATACTACACCATCCTATTATTGAAGACTCTGTAATATTTGTAATCAACAAGACCTCTATTAAACACATCTCGAGAGAGGCAACCCAGTGTGTCAACTTCCTGGCGAACGAAGGGCACAAGCATGATGAAGATTTAATTATCTGGGGAAATGCATATAGAATTTATATGCATGGTGGACTCTAGCAATGTTGCTTTTGAAAGATTGTAATCATTTGATCTTTCCAGTGTACCAAAAAAAAGAAAGGAGAAAAAGGAAAACAAGAAAATGCTGTTCAAAGCTGCATAGAAGTGTAAGTTTAGTTGAATAAAAAGAGCACTTGGACTGCAACACTTGTAGTCATAGAGGGGACATTTTTAAAATAGCACAATAAAAGTAAAGTAAAGAAAACAAAGGATGATAAAGAAAACAAGGCTGAACAACAAATTCAAATCTGGGGGTAATAGTGTTTGCTCATACTGCTTTGGGATTGAATGCTGACAGGAGCCTTGAAAATTGCTAGTTGTAGCTATGGTGCTATGAAGTCCTACACAAAACATGGAAATTTCAATCCTAGTTTCATGCATGAAATGAGAATGATTTGGGGAGCACAAAAGCCTGCACGCTTTAGCAATACAATTGGGATTAGCATTAAACCAAATTCCTACTGGTTCCAGTTATCTATCTATAACATATATATAATAATAAAATTAACAGAATCTTCAATTGTCAGATAACAACTGTAAATAAAATAAACAAGAAATTCATAAATGTCAGATAAAATTAGCCAACCCAGTTACTGTTAAACTGATCGAATTATAGCTAAGGTTGATCCACAAAACAAAGAACATACAAAAGACCTGTCCTAGGCACCTTGCTTAAGAAACACAAACTTTGACTCCGTTTTCATACTTAGGCCTATCATTTCACTCTACTTATATCTTAGAAAATCTTTTCCTGGGTACATTGGACCAAAACCAGTGGGTGTTCACCCAATAGAGTAAACATCTGCATTTGTCTATCAGAAACTGTAAAGCTTTAGACATTACCCTTTTATCCAATAAATTTAATGCTAAAGTGGAAGGCAATTATGTTATAAGTGCTACCTCTGGCAAATATATGCGAATGTGATTGAGCAAGGAAATGTATTTTGGGCTTCTAGCCTGCAGTTTTGAGGCAAAAGATCGTGGAGTAGTAGTATCACTGAGATTGGCGCCAGTTACATGGTTTCCATGGTAGTATTTCCGAATCCCATAATGACCCTCAACTGCTTCAAGCACTGGAATATTTTCTCTGGTTAACCAGTCAAACTGATGAATACCTCTAACTTCCACAATCGCTGGAGAGACAGGATTAAGAGCAAACCAGGAGTGCATCCCTGCATATGTTTTCTTGTCAGTGATGACATGGAAAACAGTTTTTTCAGGCCTCAAAGATGACTGCACGGCAGAATTGACCACAACTGAAGCAGCTAGGATGTTATCAGTTGACAATACAAAATGGTGCAACAAGTTCTCGGAAAGGAGAGGGAGTAGTTCTGGCGAAGGCAACTGTCTTCGTGCATGAGCATTAGAGGAGTACTCATCAGTCAGCCGCAGTGAAAGACAGTGAATGCCTTTAGGGACTGCACTAGCAGCAAAGTGCTTATTCATTAGCTCTGCAAATTTTGATTCCCTGATCTCCCTTTCAGATCTCTCCATCTGAAAAATAGCACATGCAAACATTGTGAAGCAAAGTTTAGCTACGAGGTACATGCACACTTTAACACAATGCATACACAGGCAATGAAGGAAGAAATGCTCTGTGACATACTGGTTTTGTACAAGTAAAGTGGGGTACATAAACGAGGACGAATCACATGGTTTTGTACTGGTCAAACAAAGAGTAAAGCATGCAAAAGGTATATGAACATTATGAATCATTTTCCTCAATCACAAGACACCATGAGTAACAAGAATAATGGATTTTCTGCAAATAGTGTGCCACTCCGTGCATTTTCACTCCTCATCCATGTTTTTCTTAACTGATATTCAAAGTGGGGAATGGGAATAACTCAGTTAAGCCCTCCCAGTGAACATAATGCTCAAAAGAGTAGGCGAGTGTGACATAGAGGCAAATGCACAGACCAAGTTAATATGCCTAGCAATCAATTGTACACGAACAAAAGAGAGAATGGCTATTTGCACATACCATTCCCTTCAGCATCAAAGCAAATTCTTTTGCACTGTACTTGTTATTTTTCATTTCAGAAACAAGAAGAGCATAAGACTCTGGGAGCTTCATAACAGATGGCAGTTCCTCAGAGTTTACTTGATTGAGGATCTTAACAAAATTCTTTACCAGTCTCTGCTGAAACAGAGAAACACTTTGATTAATAAAAGTACTCTGCATTATTGAATAAATGCTTAATACAAGATTGGAAAACAATGGCACGACAAAGCAGCAATAAATGATATAGAGGAAGTTCATTTACTTTTGAATCATCAGTTCGTCCAAGAAGCTTTGGTCCCAATCGTCTACCTAAACAGTCTGAATATCGATTAAACGAGAGTAAAGTTAAGGTTTGCCAGAACTTTAGTTTTGTTGTAACAAATCAAAAGTAAAGTGTGATATAACAATAGTCAGAAGTAAACTGAGCAATGAAAAGAAGCAGCTATTACAAGCATCATAACCAAATTCAACAATACTAATCAAACAGGATCCTTATACACACTGGTACTTTGAGGCAGGGTCCCAAACCCCAAAAGAACCCAACCAGGGAAGGGGTCTTCTTTTTTTCTACGGAACAGAAAGAAGAGCACTGAATGACATCCAAGAACAACAAAAAGACATGATCAGGAGATATGATGCAAAAGTCCTTGTGCTTCAAGATAGCACTGAGTTACATGTGCCAACAATTAACATTTTCTAGACTCCACAAAATGCAGAAGGTAGCATTTCTTACATATATAAGAAGACCGCAGTCCCCTACAAACATAAGCTGGTGTTTACTAGATACCACAGGTGCAAACAACCAAAAATATTAACTAAGCATGCCCCCCACCCCCATCCATCAGCAACCCTCTCTCTTGCATGCATAGACATCCATGAATTGAATTCAATCATGTTTCTGCTACCAAAGTTGAATCAAAGTATATCAAGGATTACAATAAGTTGTTACAACTCATTTATCAGTATCTTTGTCCTTCCCTTTTTATGAGGGTACTTGCCATCAAGTTGAAGACATCACTAGGCTCGGGAAAGAGAGAACTCAACTTTCCCCTTAATGTTACACAATCCTGATGTCAAATTAATCATCACAGTTTCAATAACATTGACAACAATCTAAACTGATAAATAAAAACAGCTATACTGCATTGTCGACAAAGAAATAACAAGAAGAAGTTTGTCTCAATGCCAAACTAGACCGGGTCGATAACATAACTGATGAAAGTTAAAAAGAAAGGAATCGCAATATACAATATAAGCTACGGAACAATAACAAGAAAAGGAAAACATGAACATCCACTGAAAAGGAACCAGCAATGGTGTAAAATACATCAGGATTAGGAAGCTAATTGTATAAAGGAAAAAGGATATTGATTTTAAGTACCAAATGAGGAGCACTTGTTGACGCCTTCAAGGGTAACAAGAGCAGTGAGAATGAAGACAAAAGGCAACAAAAAAGCTAGGAGAAGTATTGTATGAAAGAGTCTTCTATAGTTGAAATGGCGAGGTGCGAGTTTGATCTTCATTAATTCACCAAACCCTCCATTGTTATTGCTGCTCGATATTGTTATACTTCTCATGCTAGGTGAGAAGTGCAGCTGCATCTTCCTCCTGTAACTCCAATCACCACCCAATCCCAATCCTCCACAATCCCAGCACCCCCAATGATGCCACTACCCTTTTCTTGATTCCTTAAACAATACGAACACAATGGTGTTTTTTTCACCATCAGAAACACGACACCAATTAAACAATCTTGATCGCTTCAAATCTGAAGTTCGGGGTCTCTTCCGAGACCAATGGCATTTGAATGGGAGACCCTTTATTCTTCCGTTTACCCCAATCCTGAAAACCAGCGAAATCCTTTATAAATGGAAAACGTTTAGGGCTGCTTGAATCAGTGTAATGAATTCATCATATCTATGTATGTGTGAATGAATGAATCAATGAAATTTGAAAAATGATAAACCTGAGGATGATACAGTTTTAATGGAAGATGAATTTTGTTACTCCCTCCATTGGAGGATTGAACAGAAAGAAAGAAAAGAAAGAAACAAAGAAAGAAAGAAAGAAAGAGAGGGGGAGAAGGTATTTTGGAATTTCCTTTTTCTGTGTGTTTGTGCGTTCTTTCTAATTTTGATTTGGTCAATGGCAGTACTATTTCCTCTCAAGGTTACAAAATAAATTATAAAAACAGAAAAAAAAAATCTTTCAATTTTTAAAAGTATTTAGAATCTATTGGGTTGATTAATGAAATTTTGCATGGTTTACAGATTCTTCTTCTCTTTTTTTTTTTTTTTTTGGGTGGGGAGCTAATTCATTGTCTTCTTTTCTTGTGGTTAACTGGCTGCATATTATGTATTAACTTAACAATAAGCATGTATCAGAAGTACGACGAAAAAGAGGAATCATATAATGGATCTTATGTTACATGTATGGTCTATGGTGCTATAAATATCATCCTAGTAAAAATCACGGTTTACCTGAATTGGCAAAGTATACATAGGGAGGCTCGAGGATGGGAAGAGAAAACATTTGCCTAAATACCCGGTGGCCTAGAGGAACACTTAGGTGTGGTGTGAAGAGGTAGTATGGGATGCCACTTCATATCTTACTTAAGTGGGTCTTAGGGCTACTATAGTTAGGGACCCTAAGATGATTGAGATGCCCTTCTTGATGTATATGTTCTTGTATTGTGTTTTGACATTGAAGGATCATGAGGAGAAGGGTAAGTTCACCTTTGGTGGAATTGTGATGATAATGACTTGGTTGTTGGTAATACTTGTATTTGATGCCTCTTATTCTTATGTTCATGGAATATCTTGAAATTGGTATCATGCATGGTTTCCAAACCAAAATGTCCGTTTTAGCATGCCCATCATACTTAGGACATTTTTGTGTACTAACTCCATATTTTCCTCTATGTCTACAAGTGTAGGTTCCGACAAGTGACTTGCTAGTTCTAGTGAAGACTTGGATTGAGACTCCCAAGTTAGAGTGGTATGTCCTCATCATTCGGAGACACATTTTAGAAGCTTTATGTTTTGTTCTACTTATTCGTATTAGACACTTTTCAAGTGTAAAGGGGTCGTGACCCTACTTATGTTGGTTTTCTAAGATTCTATTAAGATGGCCATGTGAGAGAAGTAAACTTCCGCTGCAATGTTTTAAATGTTTGGTATGTTTTGAATCGTATGGTTTTGAATGAAAAGTTTTAATTCCGTACAATTTATAATAGCTATGCGATGAATGAATGCTATGAGGAATGTATTAGACCCCATTCGGGGTCGAGTATGCTGTGTCGCATCTGGGGCCTAGACTCGGGTCGTGACAAACATGGTATCAGAGAAAAGATTTTGGAATAGTACTTTTAGGATGTCGTCTCACAAGCCACATCTAGTAGAGTCTTGTTCATCGGTGTGAGTCACGACACATCTATGAGCGAGAGGCTATAGGGTGTTAGGATGTTTCACTTTCTTCATACTCCTATGTCGTGCCATAGAGCTAGCTCCTCCTCTAGAGAATCAAGCTCCTCAAGGTAATCAAGTTCCTCTAGGTGGTCAAGTTCCCCAAGTTGAGGAAGTCCTTCAAGATCCTCAGGTTCCTGTTGATGAAGGAGTTATGACTAATGTGGAGATAAGGACTACTCTCCAAACCTTGACTCATGCTTTGACGACTCAAGTGACTAGGTATGCTAGAGCTCATGAGAACCCTAATGATAGCACTACGTCTTCGAGGCTAAGAGATTTCACTAGAATGAATCCTCCAAAGTTCTTTGGCTCTCAAGTGGGTGAAGACCCTCAAGAATTCCTAGATGAGGTTTATAAGATTGTAGATGCTATGGGGATTACTACTAGGGAAAAAGTGGAGCTGGTCGCTTATCAATTGAAGGGTGTGGCATAAGTGTGGCATACTCAATGGAAGAGGAATAGGCCGAAAGGAGCGGATGCTATATGTTGGGAGGTGTTCAAGAGAGCTTTCCTTGATAGATTCTTTCTGAGGGAGAAAACGGAAGCAAGGGTAGAATAGTTAATCAAACTTCGTCAGGGAGGTATGGGTGCTAAAGAGTATTCTCTTAAGTTCACCGAGCTATCTAAATATGCTCCTTTTATGGTTGTGGATCCTAGAGATGAAATGAGTAGGTTCGTGATGGGTGTGCTTAGCTTGGTGAGAAAAGAGTGTTGTTCAGCTATGCTTCATGATTACATGGATATATCTCATCTTATGGTTTATGCTAAGCAAATGGAGGGTGAAAAGTTCCAAGAAAAGAATAGGGAATTGAAGAGGTCTAGATCCGATGATCAAGGTCAACTTAAGTTCAAAAAGAGGTCAACCAACCAAAATTCCTTCTATGATTCTTCTATGGTGAGCAAAGGTGGGGTGTCTAACCCTAAAAGTCATGGAGGAAGTGAAGGTGGTTCTCCTTATGATACGCCTACAAGTGCTAATTGTGGAAAACACCATTTGGGTAAGTGTTTTACCGGTACGGATGATTGCTTTGGGTGTGGAAAGAAGGGACATAAGATGAGAGATTGTCCTACACTCATGGATAAGGGGAGACAAGCTAAGCAAGCTTCTTATAGTGGCCCGGATCCTAATGCTCCCAAGAAAAATCGTTTCTATGTGCTTCAAGCTAAGGAGAGTAAGGAAAGTCATCCGGGTGAAGACACTGGTAAGTGATGGTTCCCTTTGATTTAGAATGTGATGTTGAGGTCCTTATGGTGTGTTCATGTTAGTCGATTATGGGTATGAGTTCTTCCTTAAGTGGGGGATTGTATGTTGATTATGAGATTGTGAAGAATTCTGGTATCCTTATCTCTTTCTTCTATTCCTATTCAAGCTTGAGACTTAGTGTTCTTAGTAGCTTATTTCATGTTTTGGAGTCATGCATGATTTTGTGTTGCATGGTTTCCTTATGTTATTCATGCTCTTGATGAGATTATGATAGAATGATAAAATGAGTAATTGATCTATATTCCTCATGTTGTTGTGCAATTAGTATGAGATGCTTATTGTGAATTCAAGAAGTGAATGTATGATCATGCCTATGTGTGCTTTTGAGAGTAATTTAATATCTCGGCTTCATGTTGTTATAATGAGCATGTTTATGATCGGAGAAGGTAGTTCCTCCATTTAAAGTAAGAAATGATGAAGTATGTGTGCCTAATGAGTTTGTAGAATGCAATGAATACATGTTGAGAAAAAGTTGATATTTCTTTTAGTTTGTGCATGGATTATGATGTTGTATGTTTGTTGGGCTGCTAGTCTCGAGTTGTTTTCCCTTAATGTGTTTAAGTGTCATTCCAAGACGCATGTTCCTAAGTGGGGGATAATGTAACGACTCGGAATATGATAAGATGAACTAAAGCCTTGACGTTTGGGTTAATGTGACCTTGAGTTGATGTATGGGCTGTTTAGGACCTTTTGGCGATGGGCAGCCTTGGTCGCCCACTGGCTCCCCACCTCCCATAGTGGACTGCCCACCTAGTGAGCCTATTGGAAAAATGGGCAAGCTAAGTGTGCACTTGGCGAGTCGCCTAGTGCACTTGGCAAGCTCAAGTTTCCAAAGGACGACCTAGGTGCTTGATCGCCAACTTGTTTGGCGTGTCGCCCTTTTCCCCTCCAATCGCCCATTGAACATCCCCCTTGAGTGAGCCACTGGAACAAAGGGCGGACCAAGTGTGCATTAGGCGAATTGCCTAGTGCACTTGGCGAGCCCAAGTGTCCAAAGGGCGAACTCAAGCGGGCAAGGGGCAGAAATTTTAAGTTAAAACTTTAGGGTCCTTAGTTCTTTTCCGAAATTGACCCTATACTATTCTAGTCCTTTCCTAGAAACTATATAACCTTATTATGACCTAATTCCTTTCATTTTAAGCTCCTCCAAATAGAATTAAAAGAAACCCATCTCCTCACATGTATTTCTCTTTTGGACATGATATATGGGCTAGGCCTAATTTCATTCTATTGTACTAGATGTCTATGATTAGACAAGAGTTTAGACTTCTACTTTTCGTTTATAAAATGTTTTGGACTTAGACTACTATTTTACTCTTATTGTTCTATTTCTTATGTTGTGGACTTAGACTGACATATATGGAGTCCTTCAGGGTTCTATACGTCATGTTACATTCAGAGGGTAACCCTAGGTCGTGACAGACTTGGTAATTAGAGCACAGGGTTTAGAATGGTCCTATGATATATCATAAGCCACGTCTAGTAGAGTCTTGTTCATGAGCGTGAAGCGTGCCACATTTGTGAATGAGAGCCTATAAGATGATTAGGAAACTCCACTTCTTTCATTACTCTTAAGTCGTGCAATAGATTTTAACTCTATAAGGCCTCTATCCTAATACTTATCCTATGTTCTTCAGTATATGGCTACCTGAAGATCTTATGCTAGAAGGAATGCAAGGGAGAATGCGGAACAAAAAGCTCCTCCCAGGCTCCTCAAGTTCCGATCGATCCATTGGCCGAACAAGTTTCTAATGTAGAGTTTTGGGCTACTTTTCAAGTATTGGCCCAAGTTATGAAAGTCCAAGAAAGGGAGGTAGTGGTTCCGGTGAAACGAAATGTGGGTACGATGGCTTCAATAGTGAGGGACTTCACAAGAATGAACCCTCCGGAGTTTCATGGTTCCAAAGTTGAGAAAGATCCTCAAGAGTTTATCGATGAGGTTTATAAATTTTAATGATCATGGGAGTTACTCCTGTAGAAAAGGTGGCGTTGGCCGCTTACCAATTGAAAGGTGTGGCTCAAGTATGGTATAATCAATGGAAAGAAGAGAGGCCGGAAGATGCGTGTCCTCTTGATTGGGAGAAGTTTAAGGCTGCTTTTCTTGATAGGTTCTTTCCTCTTGAGATGAAGGGAGCCAATCTGCTTGAGTTCATTAACCTTCGACAAAAAAGTATGAGTGTGAGGGAATATGCTCTAAAGTTAACTCAATTGTCTTAGTATGCTCCATCAATGGTTGCAGATTCAAGGGCTAGGATGAGTAAGTTTGTATCGGGTGTGTCCAAAATGGTGGTTAAAGAGTGACGTACCGCCATGCTCATTCACGACATGGACATCTCTCATCTTATGGTGCATGCACAACAAATTGAGGAGGAAAAAATTAAGGAAAAGTTTAAGCAGGTAA